TGTGTGTGTGTGTGTGTGTTATATATATATATATATATATATATATATATATATATATATATATATATATATGTATATATATATTTATATATGTGTGTGTGTGTGTGTGTGTGTGTGTGTGTGTGTGTGTATTAGCTCCTCGTTTACCTTTTTGTCACCATTCTCTATTTTATCATGGTGACCCTCTTGCATCAACGCCTTCTTCAATTCTTTCGTGTTCAGTTTCGGCTTATCACTCGAAGTGGGCGACATTTTTCGATCTGCTGACTTCCAATCTAAACTGCGTTCAGTGTTTTTATCTTGATGAATGCCATTTACATCAGAAGTGTCTTCCTTTGCAGGAGTGCTATTGTATTTGGATATTTCACGCCTCTCTAGTAGTAGTATTGGACTGTTGACCCGTCTCGTCTCGACTCTCGAGTCCAATATTGGTTTTGATGAGTATATTGTACAGTGTATTGACAGTGCGTTATTCCCTCACTTCCTTCTTGTTTTGTTTGACTTTATTTTGTAAAAAAAACATTTTAGGATTTTATTTTATTTTTGTTTTTTTGTTTTTGTTTTGTTTGTTTTTTGATTCTCTCTATTTTTTGAAACAAAACAAAAGACAAAGCAAAACAAAAAGAGCATGTAAATATTTATCCCAGGTTTTTAGATTTTTTATGACTGCCCCTCACCCTGTCTGACCTGTCTATCAGTCTCACAGTCTGACACAGACCAACAGTGAGTCAGTGACAGACAGACACTCTGACAGTGGATAAATATTTGTTGTTTTTTTCACCAACAACTTTTCATTTTAAATATTTTTTGCCTACTGTACTTCTGAAAATTCCTTCTTTTTTTTTTTTAAATGGGACACTCGTGGATTTGCAGAAAATGTCTTTCGTGTCCTATTTTTCGCTGGGCTTTGGAATTTTAAAAAATTAGTTGCCGACCCGAATCAGAAATTCGGAATACTGAATTGCTGATTTACGATATTCTACTCTCTAGTCTAATAGTGTCAATAGTCAAGCTTACAATCAAGTTTTCGCTACTGACAACAATAGAATTATACTCTCATCTGACAATACGAGCGTGGCTGATATCAACACGCGACTTTTAACTTTTTGTTCTTTTTGTTTTGCTTTTAATTTTAAAAAACATTTGTCTGAAATGAGTCGTAATTTATTTTCGTCGTTTACAACTAGCTTTTATGCTACTCTATTCAGATTTAGTATCACCTGTGATGGTAATACTGTGTATGTAGAAGGAAAACCCCAATTTCCAATTTGAATCATAAATAGTTAAATACAATTTAGAATCTTGAAATATTTTTTTGTCCTTCTTTGAGTCTCCTCTATTTATTCATGATATGTGTAAATACTTATAGTTTGGGCTTGAGTTTGGACTTTGGACTTTGGACTTTGGACTTTGGGCCATTGACCTTTAATATAGAGAACGAAAAAAAAATTGAGCTGCGGCAAATCTCTTTTTAGGAATATTTATTTTTGTAGGATTATGTAATTCCCAATCGCTACGAAAGCTCGAAAAGGGCCATTTGGCCCCAAATACACATATCGATATCACTGTATCAGGCTTAATTTTATCGGTTTGTGCCTACTACAATACTCTCTCTCTCGCTCTCTCTACAGAGAGTAGAGAGAGAGTAGTCAGTAGAGTAGCCCAGAGAGACTATGTACTATGTAGACTGTAGACTGTAGAGTAATGAGTCTAGAGAGTAATAGAGAGAGAAAGACAGACTGAGTCAGAACTGTCAGAACTCAGAATCATCAGAGAGGCCACACTGACACTCTCTCGTCACTAAATCAGTACATTATAAATTATGTACGTGTGTAATTGTTTTTTGTTTTTTCTTGGAAAAACAATACATAAATTCATAGCCTTTTATTTTTATTCTAGACTAGTCTCTGGTGAGTCTACTCTATGGAAGTCGGCTCTGTAAATATTGTCATAAAAAAATTGAGCATATGTACTACAAATATGTAAATATGTAAATATATGTAAATACTGTAAATACAATATACATACTACTAATAGAGGATTACTTTTGCCTAATAAGGCGTTTTTTGTGTGTGGCGGGAGTACATATTTAGAGTTTTCGGAGGAGCATGGAGTATGGGACTAAGTCTCCCTGTAGGTGGCCACGACTGAAAGTTTAATCCCCCGCCGCTACCGAAAGTCCGAAATTGAGTCCTTACCCACAGAAAGTTAGAAACGGCAAAAATAAATACTCACAGTCCAGGCCTGGGGGCTGGGGGCCTTGATCTAGAGCGCTCTCGCGTTGGAGTGGGTTTATATTACAGTTGTCACATGCAACTGAATGACTGTACCAACATACCCCAACAAACATATGCAAGCCAAAGTAGTGTAGCCTCTATCCGTTGTGGACGTGCACACTACGATATAAAAGTGCTGACACGCTTGTGAACGCTAGTAAAACGGGGATTAGTCCATAGGGGTACCAAGTGATAGTAGGCGACGGATAGGTTATATGCAATGAACGCCCGCACATTGTGTCGTACATAGACCAAATATAAATCAACACATCAGTGAAAAGTAGTCCATCAGTCAATAAGCAACTAATATGTTGAAAGGTATTAAACACAAAGGGAAAAAACGGCCACAAGTGCGCTACCACGCACTCTTCAAATACCATACAACTAAGGACAAGGTATGGTTTACGGCTTCGATTCTCCTCACTGTGGGTGTAGGGGCGTTGTTGCCCATTTTTTGCATCTTCATAGGTGACCTGTTGCAGAGTCTGACGGATATAGTGCAGAATATTCTCAATGCTGGACTGGGAAACTCGGTTGTGGACATTCTCAGTGTGCAATGGCGCAATACAACTTTGTACGATGTGGTGTTCGACGATGAGGTGCAAGAGGGTATTAAAGGGATAGTCAACATAGTGCAGACCCGGAATCAATCCCAGGAACTTCTGGCCCAGCTACAGGCTGATTTAAACCTTCTAGTGATCAGGATGGCCATAATGGGCGGTATCGGTCTTGTCTTGGGCACGCTACAACGGGTAAGCTCAGGCATAGCCACTCGGTCTGCAATGGAGAGGATCCGCCGACTATATATTGAGTCACTGCTTGCGCAAGACATGTCTTTCCACGACAAGCATACGGGTGGTGAACTCGTGGCCCATGCGACAGTGGACATGATCAAACTGGAGTATGCTTTCGGTACTGCGCACTCGTTTCTGTACATGATGATCGGCACGGGCATATCTGGAATCGTCGTCGGGTTTTTGTATGATGTGAAGCTGGCAGCTTTCTGCCTCATCTTTGTGCCTTTCATCATGTTGACTGGTTTGGTACTGTCCCGCATTGCGTCTGCTTCCCAGGGAAAGGCCAGTCAGGTCTACTGTCAGGCGGCAGCATGTGCGGAGGAGGCTTTGTGTTTAATTAAGACTGTGTGTTCCCTCGGCGGGCAGGAGCACGAGGTGGAGCAATACTACACACAAGTCAAAGATGTTGAGCAGAAAACTATTCTACAGTCACTGACGTTGGGCATAGGCACTGGTGCATCCATGTGCATCCTGTACGCTTCGTGTGCGCTGATCATGTGGTTTGCCTACGGCATGGTAGACAGCGGCGAGATCACCGCGGGCGCAGCGATGACTGTGTTTTATGCGGTGATTGTATCTGCCGTCGCCTTGGGCCAGATCTTCCTACCTATCTCAGATATAGCTGCCGCGCGTGGGTGTGCGTATACCATATACAATACTATAGACCGTGTGTCGGCTATCGACTCACTGTCTGATGAGGGGATCGTGCCGGACTCTTTGCAAGGTACTCTGGACTTCACCAATGTCAAGTTCAGGTACGTTCCAGATGGGCAAGTAATTCTGCACGACTTTTCGCTGCAGTTCCCAGCCGGCAAGACGGTCGCGTTGGCTGGTTCGTCTGGCTCTGGCAAATCCACAGCGCTGATGCTGCTGGAGCGGTTCTACGATGTGGAGGAGGGCAGAGTCGAGGTAGATGGCCACAATATTAAGGACTTGCACCTGGGTTGGCTGAGAAACCAGATAGGCTATGTGGGGCAAGAGCCGGTGCTATTCGCCGGGTCCATCGCCACCAACATTGCGCTTGGCGCTGAGATGATCGCTAATCCGGACTTCAATGCCAAACGACCAGCAGATGTGTATGCGAATCCACGCTTTGTGCGCCAGGAGGTGACGCTGGATCAGGTGATTGCGGCTAGTTCCATGGCCAATGCACACGAGTTCATCTCCAACATGCCCGACGGCTACGACACGCTGATAGGCGAGGGCGGCGGCATGTTGAGTGGGGGTCAGAAGCAACGCATAGCCATAGCACGCGCACTACTGCGAGACCCAAGGATTCTGTTGCTGGACGAGGCCACCTCGGCCCTGGATGTGAAGAGTGAGAGTGTGGTGCAGGCTGCTATGGAGAAGGCTGCTGCCGGGCGCACGACCATTATTGTGGCACACAGACTGCGCACTATCCGCAACGCTGATGTGATCTGCTTTATGCACCAGGGCAGGATACTGGAGACGGGCAGCCATGACGAGTTGGTGGCCAGGGGGGGGGGCTACGCTGAGTATGTGCGTATTCAAACCAAGCACTCGCCATCTGAGGCGAACAGGGATGACGTCGATGCGACTATGCCCACAGATCCACCGGCCACTGCGCAAGCCTTGCGCTCAACAACGAGCACTGTGGATAAGGACCTGGACAAGGCTGACCCCGATATAACAGCGGGTAACCTCTACCATCTAGACAGCGATGACGAAGTGGCACTGGAGGATTCAACGGGTGCCGAACCGAAGAAAAAGCAGAAGCGCAATCAGTTCATGCAGCTGTTGAAGATGAATCGTCCGGAGATACCTACCATGTTGGTAGGCATGGTGGCGGCCGTTATCACGGGCCTGCTGTGGCCTGTCTTCGCTTACGCAATGGGTGAGATGATCTTTGTGTACATGACGCTGAACGAGGATCAGGCTCAGAAGTGGATCAAGACCTTCCTGGCCCTCGCAGGCATTGCGCTGTTCACCAATAGTATTATGTACTGGTGCTTTGGGGCGGCGAAGCAAAAGCTCACCCGCCGCCTGCGCGTGTCCACGTTCAGAATGTTTATGAAGCAGGACATGGGCTTCTTCGACATGGAACACAACAAGGTCAGTGAGCTAACGGTCAGTCTCTCCAACGACGCCGCGGCTGTGGGGTCAGTAATGGGTGATACAGTCATCATGACGCTGGTCATGCTCAGCACATTAGTAGCCACCTTTGTCATAGGCGTGTTTCTGTGCTGGCAGTTGGCGCTGGTGATGATGTCGTCGTTCTTCATCTCGGGTCTTGTGTCGTATGTGGGTAGTCTGTTGGCCAATCGCATCACCAAGAAAGCCGAGAACAGTCTGGACGAAGCAACCACCATGGCCAGTGAATACCTCCAGTCAGTGCGCACCGTCACATACCTGGGAGTGAGCACAGACATCCTGCAACGCTACCGTGACTATCTAGAAGCACCCAGAAAGTCCATGTTCAAAGCCAGCATCATCTCCGGACTTACTTTTGGCTTTGCACAGTGTGTGATCTTGTCCGTTTGGGGGTATGTAGTTTTGTTGTCGTTCAGTTTAATACGTGTTAACGTTATCTTGTGCTGTACGAACACTTCTGCATGTGGCTGCTGTGCCGTTCGGTTGATTTCATTTAGAAACAAATTCAATGGCTTACGTACGATATACTCGATGTCTTTCGTACGTGCGTTGGGATCCCAATACTGTCCCGTTATCTTCGCCTTCCATGGGAAAATGTTGTTGCAAGAACTGCACATTCTATTATTTACCTATATATGTATATCCATTTATTTAGGAATACGATGTGTGTGAGCAGATCCGTTTACGTTTGTATACACACAACTGCGCCAGCCATCCAGCGTATACGTTCTAAACTAGTATTCAAATTTGATGCTGTTACATACAGTTGTCTGTATATATTTGTGAGTGTGTGTGTCCACGTTTTAACTGGTATTCAAATTTGATGCTGTTATACAGTTGTCTGTATACCTTTGGATGTGTGTGTCTACGTTTTAACTAGTATTGAAATTTGATGCCTTTAGATAGTTATTTCTATATAGTGAGGTGTGCGTCCACGTTTTAAACTAGTGTTGAAATTTGATGCCGTTAGATAGTTATTTGTGTGCGTCCACGTTTTAACTAGTATTGAAGCTTAATGTTGTTATATAGTTAATTTGTACGTACAGTCTTCACCTGAATATGTAGCCACGCATATCATATGTGTGTGGATGGAAGAATGGAGTTTGGATGTTCGGGTATACAGTTTTGTGCATGCAGGGCAGTAAATCACAGTGTAAACTAAGTTTCTTTTCTCGATAAAATTTTCGCTGTAAAATTTGTAAACATTCGTCAAGTGATTTGCACAACTATTAACCCACTCCTTCGCATAGACAGAGCGTTCTTCATATATATCACTTGCCATATGTTTGTGTCTACACCTAGACACCCTTTCATATTCACCGCCAAGCCTCTCCATTGCACCCGTATCACGGTGCACAGTTTCTCCTTCTGGTTCGGTGTGGAGATGGTGACTACCACGGGTGGTACTACGCAGGAGTGCACCATGAAAGAGGCCATCACAACCTTTGCCGCCGTTGTCTTCGGTGGCCTGGGAATGATCTCCTCCTTAGCCTTGGCGCCCGATGTGAATGCCGCAAGGACTGGTGCCGCACGGCTGTTTATGTACAGAGATCAGCAGCCGACCACAGACACCGGCACAGACGAGGGCGTCCACTTTGCCAACCCGGCTCTACTAGGACAGCCGCTCAGCGGGAAAGCGGGGCAGATGGAGTCCAGTTCGGTTGGACTGGTGGAGAAGACATCGACCACGGCCCTTGGCCTGACCAAGTGCATTCCGGTGGAAGGTGACGTGGCGTTTCATCACATCGCCTTTACCTACCCCGCGCGACCACGACATCCTGTGCTGACTGACTTTAGCGTTGACGTGGGTCGAGGGCAGACGCTGGCCCTGGTCGGTGAGAGCGGGTGCGGCAAATCGAGTTGTCTGGGGCTGTTGGAGCGGTTCTATACTGCCGCAAAGGGACAGATAACTGTGGACGGGATCCCGGTGGAGGATGTGAATGTGAAGAGTCTGAGACGAACCATTGGCATGGTGGGCCAAGAACCACACCTGTTCACGGGCACGATCCGAGAGAACATGCTGTATGGCTTAAGTGCCGAGGAGAAGGCTGAGCTCACCGACGACTCTCTCTGGCGGGCCATTGACGATGCGAGTGCGAGAGAGTTTGTGGAGTTGTTGGGGGAGAAGCTGGACACACACATAGGCGTCAGGGGTTCTCGGCTCTCTGGTGGGCAGAAGCAGCGCATAGCCATTGCACGCACCCTCCTGCGAGACCCGCAGATTGTGTTGCTGGACGAGGCCACAAGCGCTCTGGACGCACAGAGCGAGTCTGCGGTACAGGCAGCCCTGGATAAGATGAGCGCTACACGAACTACCATCACTGTGGCACACCGACTGGCGACCGTCAGAAACGCCGACATCATTGCGGTCGTGGCTGAGGGGGTGATTAAGGAATCGGGCACGCACGAAGAGCTGATGGCCATTCCGGGGGGTAGATATAAAGCGATGATGAAGCTGCAGTGATTACGGATGCGCATTCGAACGAGCAACATCGCAGTTTTGGAGGTACTTTGTTGTATGATTAGGTGCGTATTGTGCACAAATTGGTAGAAGAACATGCCAGAATTTGATATAAAATTGAACCTAAACACGCTCCATTGCTCTTTGATTGTATTGATCCCACCGTGGCGTTGTTTTAAGAGTTGCAATGCAAGATTTGGAAAGTGGGAGTTTTCGTCCTGATCATTCTTTGCTCGAACGGTTCACAACCACACACAAGTACCCTGTAGGTACACTCGACGTGCAGTACCCCATGCACCCCGTGAGCAGCCAGCCACCTGGACAACTGTGCGTCGGGTTGTGCTATTCGGAAGTGTGCGATGCTTGTCTCCCCAGCCCAGAGTATGGTTCAGGGCAAGCAGCCGAGTGGACGTCCCCATACGGTTCCAACATTCGGGGTTTGCACTGTGGCCCGTTGTTGCCAGTGGTTTTGGGGTGTGGTGTATGACTGTCGTGTGAATGACTAGCAGCGTGTGTTGCACGCTTTCATCGAACGGAAGCTTGGCAGTCTGCAGGGCTCTCAGACACACCACACCGCAACTGAGAGCCAAGCACGCTGAGAAAGCCGCACTTCTGGGGAGGGCCTACATGTACACGTTGGCGCTCGATTGTTCCTTGTCGCAGACGGTTGTTTATTGGACCGTTGCATATGTGGGCTTAAGCAGTGGCCTGAATGGACTTGCTGGATCACCAAACGTTCAGACCCCAAGCTATGCCTCCACCATTCAATGCTTTCTCCGACCGACCAATTGCTGTTGGTGGTCTGAGGGACCGCAGGGCACTGGCGCGTCAGAGCGAGTCAACACAGGATTTCTCAAAGGATATCTCCTCTGAGCGCAACCATGGGTACGTTTCACGTTGTATTCGATGGTAGACCATCAACAGCGGGAAACGTGTGACTGTACGTGGAGTGGATCGAGCACAGGCACGACGGCGATCATTACTGACAAGTTGTGCTAGTGGTGTTGCTGTGCCACGTGTGGTCAGGGAAGACCAACCATCCGAGCTATTCGTTTCATCAGTTGTAAGCTAGTGCTTAGCAGCAGTTGAGAGCATTCCAGAGAGCCATACCTGTAACGTGTGGGGACGATACATGAGCCGTATCCCACAAGTACCCTCAATTGACACTGCATCAGTACAACTCAGAGTGATAGCAGGTTATTGCACTCTCGCGAGGTCTTGTTAACGTCTGTGTACGATCCCAACGACAGCTTAGATCGACACTCGCCGTTCGGTAGTGCTGTAAGCTCTTCTGTTTTGATTTCGCGTTGTGTAAGTACATCAGATCAAACTAATCAATCTGCGCTTCAAATCTGCGCTTTACAAAATATGTGCCGTAGTACTGAATGAAAGCGAGTGACAGCATCAGTTGTTTGTTGTACATTGTAATGTTGATGTATAAGTTTGATGTATATGTGCCGTTGTACTAAATGAAGGCGAGTGACAGCATCAGTTGTTCGTTGTACATTCTAATGTTGATGTATAAGTGTGATGTATATGTGCCGTTGTACTGAACGAAAGCGAGTGACAGCATCAGTTGTGCGTTGTGGATTGTATTGTTGATGTATAAGTGCGATGTATATGTGTCGTTGCACTAAATGAAGGCGAGTGACAGCATCGGTTGTTCGTTGTAAATTGTAATGGTGGTGTATAAGTGTGATATATATGTGCCGTGGTACTAAACAAAGGCGAGTGACAGCATGACACATGTTGTAGATTGTAATGTTAATGTATATGTGCCGTTGTACTAAACGAAGGCGAAAGCCAGCCGCGTTCTCCAATCACACGAGTCTCATGGAGAACGGGCATCAGTTGTTCGTTGTGGATTCTAATGTTAATGTATAAGTGTGATGTATATGTGCCGTTGTACTGAACGAAAGCGAGTGACAGCATCAGTTATGCGTTGTGAATTGTATTGTTGATGTATATGTGCCGTTGTACTGAACGAAAGCGAGTGACAGCATCAGTTATGCGTTGTGAATTGTATTGTTGATGTATAAGTGTGAAGTATATGTGCCGGTACACTAAATGAAGGCGAGTGATAGCATCAGTTGTTCGTTGTATATTGTAATGGTGATGTATAAGTGTGATATATTTGTGCCGTGGTACTAAACAAAGGCGAGTGACAGCATGACACATGTTGTAGATTGTAATGTTAATGTATATGTGCCGTTGTACTAAACGAAGGTGAAAGCCAGCCGCGTTCTCCGATCACACGAGCCTCATGGAGAACGGGCACAACACATATTTGCTTATGACCAGAGCCATGCCTGACAGAGACCGTAAACATTTTACAGATGACAGCAGCACAGTTCAATAATATGTACTATTACTACCTTAAATGTGAGACATCGAACCTTGAAAACAAGGCATTAGACCTAAAATATGGGACATTGAACCTTAAAAACGAGACATGAAACCTTATAAAATACGCGACATTGATACTTGAAAACGAGACATAAAAAGTTAAATAGGAGACATTGAACCTTAAATAAGAGACATTAAAGCTTGAGTACAAGACATTGAACAATAAGTATGAGACATTAAATGTTAAATACGAAACATTAAACATCAAGAACGGGACATTAAACCTTAAGTGCAAAACATAAAAAATAACGAACGAGACATTGAACCTTAAATAAGAGACATTAAAGCTTGAGTACGAGACATTGAACCTTAAAACGGATCATTACAAATCCAAGAACGAAACATTGAACCTTATATACGGGACATTGAAGCTTAAGTGCGAAATATTGAACAACAAATACGAGATATTGAACCTTAAAACGGAACATTACACATCCAAGTACGAAACATTGAACCTTATATACGGGACATTGAAGCTTTAGTGCGAAATATTGAACAACAAATACGAGATATTGAACCTTAAAACGAAACATTAACCATCAAGTACGAGACATTGAACCTTATATAAGGGACATTAAAGCTTAAGTGCGAAACATTGAACAATAAATACGAGATATTGAACCTTAAAACGAAACATTAACCATCAAGTACGAGACATTGAACTTTAAATAAGTGATATTAAAGCTTTAGTATGAGACATTGAACCTGAACTATGGGACCTTGAACCTCAAAAACAAGATTATGAACCTTCGAAGCATTGAACTTTAAATACGATACATTAAGCAACAAATGCGAGATATTAAACCTTAAAAACGAGGCATTAAACCTATACGGGACATTGAACCTTTGATACGAGAAATCTAAGGTTGTGAATGGCCACCGGGACCTTCCACAGGTACCGGGAGATCTGTTACAGTATGACCTCGGCGGTTCACTGGGTTCGATGTGATATACTGTGTTGGAGTGTATGATGTGCTCTCCACTCAGAAACACATCTTCAACACGTTACAGGAATCTCTCAGGACGTTCGTGTGTGACGGCGATCAGGCTCAGAGCATCGCAACCGGCAACCGATTCCGCTTCATCGATCTGAAAGGGCTCATCCACACCGTGGTCGGAGAACCAGGGAGTATGCAGGAGATGCACTTGAGTACAGAATACCGGTTGAGGAAATCGATCCTGCAGTTTGGTCAATGCCTTTGTGCGCGTGTTGCAGTACTTCTTCCTAACTGAAATTGACTCCACGCGTTAAAAAATAATATACTCACTGTCATGTGCCCTGTTTCTGTTTTCAAAGCCCTGTCTATGAGAATCTATTCTTAGAGACCGTATCGTTTCTTTGGACCGTATTCCCTGCATGTGCAGATATTGCTAGAGATGATTTCTATGACAAACACTCCTATTTGCGCGTTGGTTGCTCGCATCTGTGTCGTTCTATTAGTTTATACTTACCATCGTTAATCAGCCTGTTGATTTCCTTGTCCACATTTACTTTCGCTCTCGTTACCCCAGTTCTCCACACGGCAGTTGTGTTTCTTCACACTCTCATCTACTCGCATCACCTCGTTTCACTGTGTAGTACGATGGTTACCGTTTCCTTCACTATATTCTAATACACATATGTTTACCTCTAGTTCTTGCCCCAATCCTCATACCGCATGTATTGCTCACTATTTTCATAGGGGGGGGGTTTTTTTTAGGCATATAGATTGTGAACTATGATAGCTTCTTGATACCACGTCAATGCACGGTTGTAGAATTCGGTTTGTGATATACCTAGCTGCGCCTGATGCAAATGAGGTAGAAAAAGTTGTGTTTCTTCACACTCTCATGTACTCGCACCACCTCGTTACACTGTGTAGTACGATGGTTGCCGTTTCCTATCACTATATTCTAATACACATATGTTTACCTCTAGTTCTTGCCTCGATTCTCATACCGTATGTATTGCTTACTATTTTCATGGGTTTTTTTAGGCATATAGATTGTGAACTATGGTAGGTTCTTGATACCATGCCAATGCACGATTGTAGAATTCAGTTTGTGATATACCTAGCTGCGCCTGATGCAAATGAAGTAGAATACGACGATCTGACCCGTCGACACACACTTGCGTATGCAATACAAACACACAGGAGACAGAAATAAAAACAGATTTAGTGCCCAAAACTCTCACAGACACTCCTGAGAATTGTCGGAGCTTCGTTTGCTGGCACTGAGACAATTTTAACCCCACCCCGCCAACACAAAGTCAAACTGATCTACCTATAGTTAAATCGTGCGACATGAATGCTATCAACTCTATTCGAAACTCTATCCGAAATCAAATTTTAGATACTCGTCCCGGATTCAAAGTTCACATGTTTGATAAACTGCTCGACTTTAAGTTGACGCTACCTTGAATCTCAGAATGGTTTTGCGACTGACGATACTGGTGTTCTCAAGCATAAGTAACTTCTAGGAATTAATATAGAGAAGATTTTCACGTGTACATCATGTGTAAAATATTTGATTATGTTTAGTGGAGTTTAATTTACTTAGTAGAGTTTTCGTGAGTTATTTAAGTATTAACTCAACTCTCGGGAGTATTTTAATCAACTTGGTTAGATCTCGAGAGTGTGCGAGCTTTGATGACTTCTATAAATCAAAGGGTTTCTTGCTGTAAAATCTGACCTGAGACCTGTAGGCTCTCACAATATACTCTCAAATATGTCCATTTGTACTATCAGTACTACAGTATCTTGAAATGAAGAGTATATGGGAACAATGCATGTCACGTGTGTATGAATGTCTCTCAGAGTTTTAGCGATGATCCTCAAGACAAACATTTTGCGGTTGTACTCGAGTCTGTACACGACTCTAACTGTGAGCGAATAACGCACGTGCTGAAATTTCTTCAATAGCTCAATAGTCTTTATTGGGAATTCTAATGTATACCCAGAGAGCTCGGGATGTAAACCGGCATTCGCATTCGGCTGCTGATGTCATACACATCAGTATTCGTGGGAAAGACATATGTATATGACAAAGCCGGTTGATAAATTGCTTCACCCAGCTTCCCCGGTTGTATACTGGGCTGAAAATATCGATACCATTAAATAGGCACACAGGGTCGGTCACCGGTTGCTAACTTGCTGATGCGTACTTTGTTATAGTTTCCAAAATTAGTTTCATTTCTTGTTCTTGAATCTTTTAGTCGTTTAGTAGACTATATTTTCTAGTACAAGAATTGAGCCAATGTGTACAGAAAGTCTAAGTGAAGACGGCAACACATCAGTTTCACATAAGAAGGCGTTTTGATAACCAAACTGAGCGGTAAAAAATGAGGCGGCGGCAAGGAACGCGAAAGCGCAACTGATTGACGACCTTTCATTAACCACGAGTGGCGGGATAGTTGTATATAACCAATAGACGCACGGTATTTAGCCAACATGTAAATCCACAATAAGAACTTTATCACGATTTTACTGATATCAAATGCTTGATGCGCTGTTGTGCGAACCCAATGAAATATACTACTAGCACTTCAATGTCCTCCACAGAAACTATTTTTTAATTTTCAACGCTTCAGCAGAAGTTATCAGTGACAGTCAGTCAGTATCCCTAAAGCATTAATGCGAAATACTATCACATGTTATTTGTTGGATTTATGGGCTTCGAACCCCT